TGGCGAGAGGAGTGAGGAGGAGAGAGAGATAGCGAGAGAGACGAGAGGGAGAGGATGAGATGAGGAGAGAGAGAGAGACGGGGAGAGAGAGGAGAGCGAGAGAGGCGAGAGAGAGAGAGGAGAGAGAGATGAGAGAGAGAGAGAGAGAGAGAGATATTCTCATTAACATCAGACCTGCTGATGCCATTAATCGCAGAGCCAAAGGCCTTTTCCAGGGATGTCGGGAACAGCTGGGTCAGGGTCGGGTTGGCATGCGGACCTGCTCTAAACTGGGAGCAAGGAGCGAGAAATAGCAATCTAACCTTGGTCTTTCATGCAATAACGTCACAGGAAAAAAGTATTGACACCGCCCGTATCGTAACCGCTTGTCATCCAGGCACTCTAGGCCTACTTGGCCCGTTTACCGGCCTGAGCTCCTCAAACAGACAGCAGCCACGTCGACGACACCTGTTAACGGGACTCCGCTTGCCGAGTCCTCCGGCTCGGTGCCTCGCCACGGCGACGTCTCCATGTATCTCGCCTGCTGCCGGCCCGCGGCCCGGGGGAGGAGGGCAGCGGAGAGCAGGGACACCAGCTGCCAGTTACGTGGCGGGTGGCCGCCGCGCCGCGAGCGTCGACGGCGCCGACTCTCGCCGCGAGAGATTGCTACGCCTGGCCCCGGGTATGGGTCTGCCGACAGGGCTGCCCCAGATATGGGTCTGCTGACACGGCCGACCCCAGATGTGGGTCTGCCGACAGGACCGGCCCGGATGTGGGTGTGCCGACGCGGCCGGCCCCGGATGTGGGCGTGCCGACGCGGCCGACCCCGGATGTAGGCCTGCCGACAGGACCGGCCCGGATGTGGGTCTGCCGACACGGCCAGCCCCAGATGTGGGTCTGCCGACACGACCGGCCCCAGATGTGGGTCTGCCGACACGGCCGGCCCCGGATGTGGGTCTGCCGACACGGCCCGCCCCAGATGTGGGTGTGCCGACGCGGCCGGCCCCGGATGTGGGTCTGCCGACGCGGCCGACCCCGGATGTGGGTGTGCCGACACGGCCGGCCCCGGATGTGGGTCTGCCAACATGGCCGGCCCCAGATGTGGGTCTGCCGACACGGCCCGCCCCAGATGTGGGTCTGCCGACACGACCGGCCCCAGATGTGGGTCTGCCGACACGGCCGGCCCCGGATGTAGGTCTGCCGACACGGCCAGCCCCGGATGTGGGTCTACCGACACGGCCAGTCCCGGATGTGGGTCTGCCAACGCGGCCGCTCGGGGCAGGGTTCTCACACAGGAGCCGCACGGGACACACGTTGGCAGGCAAGCCCACAGGAAGCGGCGGACGCGGTTCTCACATTGACTACGCGGCAGACCTTGTGAGAACCTCACGAGGGTCTCCCGACACAGCGATGAGGGGTTAGATTACCCCTGTGCTGTTCTGACCACCGCGCGTCAGCCACTCGCCACACCGGGGTACGGTTCGCACGCGGACCACCCGGACCAAAGTCAAACAAATTATGGTCTCCTGACATGACACGAGGAGTCGGGGTTTGCCCACGGCTCGTCCAAATGACAATGCCGCAGAGACAAGTACATCAGCGTGGCAGCGTGTAGGAGATCATTTCTCGTGTATGGAGCGTGCGTGTGGGAAATCATTTCTCGAAGAAGACCAGCCTTGTCCAAGACATAGCGGCTTTTCCCTTTTATGTCTTCGGCAAATTTCCGTTGATTTTGACAAAATTTTGGCGAAGTGGAGACACGCTCACGCCTAATGCCTTTTCATAGATACACAAATCCCAACTAAAGTTGGCTGTGCTGTATTGCATTGAATATAGCTGGTATTGTTTTTGTGGAGAAGACCGGTTTTAGTCCAGAGGTCTGAGTTGAGTCGACCGTTTTCACATAAAATAAGTCATGGTCTGGGTGTTGAGTTTCAAGGCGTCAAATCCTGGCTGGAGCCCATTCAAATTTACTGCACTTGCGTCTGATCCCGATTTGGAGCTCTTGAACCTGGAATCTGATTTTGAGTCCGAATTCTGAGACCTTGATTCAAGGTCCCATCCAAATTGCTTTTAACTGAACTGCACGGTATGTTATCGGAACTTCTTGGGAATAAAGTTGATAATTTGTTTCAGCCTAAGATACTGTGACGTAACGTAGTGCATTAAATTATCTACCGTTGAGGTGGCTCATATACTTTAACAGTAGAATCTTCGTACACCAAATATGACGGGAAGCGAAAGGTTAGTCTCGTCAAACCCGGCACAACGCAATGGATAAATGCAATCACTGCATAAAGAAGTTCCTTTTCAAAGCATACACTGAATGGGAGTCAAAATTGAATTGAGGTGCTTTTTGCTGAGCCGCATTTAGATAACTCTTATTCTGAGCTGAACTTGATACCTTATAGTTTGAGATTGAGCCTGATTCTGGGATTCTGGGGTCTGACCCATCTGACCCGTCTGACCCGTCTGACTCGTCTGACTCGTCTAACTCGTCTGACCCGTCTGATCCGTCCGATCCGTTTGACCCGTTTTACCCGTCTGACCCGTCTGACCCGTGTAACCCGTCTGACCTGTCTGACCCGTCTCACTTGTCTCACCCGTTCGACCTGTCTGACCCGGCTGACACCACCTGACTCGTCTGACCCAGCCCTAATGCCGCAGATGTGTCGAAGCGGATCGAGTCGCTTGAAGCTAGGCAGGCGGCTGCCGAAGGAGGCCGACCTGCTGGGCGTGGCCAAGGCGCTGGTGCGCCTGCATGACACGTACGACATCGACCTGGACCAGCTCGCCGCAGGCGACATGCTGGGAGTGCGCACCTCGGCCAGTGAGTGCAGCAGGGGCGGGGGCGGGGCGCAGGCGCAGGCGCAGGCTTAAGGTCGCAGGGCTGGCTGGTGGCATGTTGAGGAGTGTACACGGTGAGTAGGGGGATAATTATCCACACATAGGAATGTTTCTGAAAAGTCAGTCCTTGCTATACCATTAGAAGACGGTGTGAGGAGGAACATTAATGGCGGACAGTACCGGGAAAGTAGGAGCATGGATGATGCTGGTAAACGCAAAGACGCCGATATCAGTTGATATTGGTGGCGTTCCCATGGCTTCATCTGCCTGCCAGTCTAGACCGTACCTCGCCTGCGGAGCCCCTGCAGAGAGCGCTGGCAACTCACCATCATCCTTGACTTGTCGGCCGCGCTGGTATTCGCTCGGTGTCCGCTGCACGTCCGCTGATTCCCTCGGCTGACTCACTCGGCCTCCTCTCCCACAGCGCTGACCGCCCAGGACTGCCTGTACATGGGCAAGCACTCGCACAACCAGGGCATGTACTCGCGCGCCGTCGAGTGGTTCGACACGGCTCTGCGGCTGGCCGAGCACGAGGGCAACCGGACTGTCAGCCCGCTCCAGATCGCTCCCTTCGCCCGCATGGCCCGCAGCGCTGTACGTATGCGCCGCTCGGCGCCGGCGGGGACAGGCAGCTGACCTCGCCGGCTGCACAGACGGCGGGCACTGCTGGTGGCTGCATATGAGCTTTTCTGTGTATGGATGTCTTGCTTGGGACGAGGAACGGCTTAGGAAGCGGCAGGCATGTTCCTTGCAGCGGAGTCCATTCATGCAGGATAGTGCCACTACGGATGCGCTGGTGGGCGCGCGCTTTGTCTAATATGCATATATTAGATGCGGGCGGATGTGTGAATGACGAGTAAGCCGGCTCACCAGCCGTCTTCTCGCCGCAGCACGACGAGGTGGCCAGCACGGCCAACCATACGAACGTTTACGTGCTGAGTGAGCCGCTCAACGGCCGCTCGCCGGTGGAGCTGCGCCGCCGGGAGCAGCAGAGCGGCCGCCACCGCTTCCGCCTCGGCTTCAACATCTCCACCGAACAGGACTTTGTCAACTACAAGGCGCTCTGTCGCGGCGAGCAGCTGCTGGTGAGCGCCAGTTGTCTGTGGGTCCGGCCGGACTGGGTCAGCCGCCGGGTCAGCCGCCGGAGGTCCGAGGGGTCGCCGCGGCCTGGTAGCGTGCCCTGCGATTTAACCCGAGGTCGTGGCACTGAGACGTCGCACGGGTGGGTTCTGGCTGCGTGAGGCTGCGTGCTGGAACGGCGTGAGGATTGTGAAGATGCGTGCATCGGCGTCCACGCCCGCCGGCGACGGTTCAAGTGGTGGGAAGAAGGGCGTGGAACCCTGTATCGTGCCTGTTTGAGGTAAGTTGTTTGTTGTGAAGCTCCACCATGCTGTTGTATTGATGGGGTTGTTACGTTGTCTTCAATTTTTTTTAGCACCCGAGGGAAGTGGACCAAGTTAAAGTGCTGGAACGCTGACCGAGGATCTGCCTACTTCAAACTGAGGACCGATCAAGGTGGAGCAAAAGCATATGGACCCACCTCTGCTTGTTTTCCATGACGTCATTCTTGACGAAGAGATCGAGATAATAAAGAGTCTTTGCACGGAAGAGGTAAGCTTGCATTGCTTTGGCTTGTCAGCACGTAAGTCCTCTGTTAAGATACTTGAGCTCTAACCAAGCTTCGGGTATGAACTGTGTAATATTTTACGTAAGTGAACCATTTCTTTTATTTAACGCTTGCCTTACCTGAGAAAGGGAGCGTCGGACTAAATGAGAATTGTGATTCCAGTCTCTCCCGCAAACTCGTGGCGTGATGTTTGTTTTTCATCTCTGATAAAACAACTGCATCCCTACCATCAGTGAAATTCTGCCCTCGACATGGCGTTAGCTTTCTAAAACAAACAAAAAATAAAATGCCTGAACTCTGTTCCCCCTCCTCCTTCCCCTCCTATGGTATTGCGCCTATGTTGGAACCCGACCCTGTTTTGTGAGTCAAAGAACACAGTACATGCTGAACCATCCTGTCCTGGCGAACAAACCCAGCAAACCTGTCCTCACTGGTGGTAGCAGCGACGTGCTCTATACCTAGCTCTTGGTCCGCTTCTGCCATCACGCAGATGGATGACGTTTGACCATCGTTCACATGTCGACCTGCCGCGGCGAGTGAGTACAGACGTGCCCCTGTAGCTGACCCGCCCATCTCTGAGTGACGTCATGTCCGGGGCTAACGTGCCCTATCGATGAGGTCACGCCCCTCCGGCTCCGGCCGCGTCCGCCGCCAGCTCTCCCGCTCCATGGTGGTCGGCGGCAGGCTGGGCGACGCGGTCAGCGAGTCGCGCATCTCGCAGACGGCGTGGCTGGACGACACGCGCCACCCCGCGGTGAAGGCGCTGTCGCAGCGTGTGGCCGCCATCACCGGCCTCGTCACGGACGTGGCCCGCGCGGAGGCCGAGATGTTCCAGGTCAGTGCCCGGCTGCCCTGCCTGGGGCGGTTCGGGTCAGAGTCCCGAGTGAGACATACACAGACCTGCGCCATGTGAGACGTTCCAGGTCAGTGGTTCGACGGCACCATGTCATGATTCATAATTAAATAATGCTAATGTTTGTTCAAGATGATCAAGTGCACCAGACAGCGGCGCTATGATGATCAGTGCCGCAGTTTGTGTAGGGTTAGACAGAAATAATGTGTTCAGGCATTGTTCGGTCCTGCGCAATGTGTACTCGTTGGGCTCTCCTTCATATCATCGTCATTATACCGAAATCTTTGTTTAGAAAGAATAGTATGTTGCACGGTGTCCATGCTTAAGTAACACGCTCGCGCGATGACGTATAATAACATTAATAATAGTGATAACACTCATTTTAACATTTAGTAACCTTGGCTAGTTGGCGGTGGATGTGGTACACGCGTCCTGTCGCTGTATAGAGCGTCGCAGTGTAGTGTAGTGTACGGCATCAGTGTGGTGTAGTGTAGTGCGGAGCTCCGCAGTCTAGTGTGTACCGGTGTGACTAACGCCTGCCTCGTGACCGCAACAGCTGCATGGCCACACGCGCTCACAGCCGCCGCTTACCACGCTCACCCTGCTTGACTCACCCACGCGCTGGACGCTTACCTCACGCACGCGTGCTGCTCAGGCTTAGACGCGCACCCCGCAGTAAGGCTGGCGTCGAGGGGAAACATGTTATCTTTTTCGAAAGTAGTGAGTTTCGATGCCTGGCGTTTGTAGCAACAAAACCTGTCATTTGCGGTTGGAAAATGTTGAAATCTAGCTGTGCAAAAACGCAGTCTTCTTTTTATCATTAGCGGCGCCTTTGATCAGCATTGGGTGTTGCGGTCACTAGAACAGGTTCACCCTTTCCCTTATTTAGCTCACATCTAAAAATGAGTAGGCTGACTGAAAAATATGTCCTAGTGAACTGTTTGACCCTTATTCAGCCTTCGGGGTCTTTGGTCGCGGTATCATACGTCTGAATTGCTTAACGACTTCCTATAAAATCTTTCAGACATGGCAGCATACAAAACTGAAATAATAACTTTGAGCGCGTGCGCACATTTTGCAATTGAAGTTATCCTACTTCTGTAGAGATTTGGAATTGGAGTGCAATCGGTATTTTGGATGAGATTACTTTGAGGGATCTTATGTGCCATGTGTTCAAAGGCTAGTTCCAGGCGTAGCCCGGGCCCACTGAAGGCGGTGAATCACCTGGTGTGGTTCAATTTGGCATAGTTCCGGTCTGGGATGATACGGTTGGACAAACGGCGTGCAATCTATGATATTTCCAGCGTTTGCCACTCGTGGAATTTGGGACGGTTTGTTGAGTTGGGAGGTCATACTCGTTCTTGGAAAATAAAGCTGGAACATTTTTGTAGTTACAGTAAAGTTTCTGGTACCGTATTAACCTGTTCTAGACTTTGTTACGTGCTTAGTTTGCTAGCACCTGAAATAAGCTATTGCCAAAGGTAAAGGCAGTAAATGCTGTGTAAACCTTATCGTGTGCTTAAGCTGTTTGAACGAGAATTAAATCACTGATCCCGGTGAGGCATAAATACGCAAAGGGACCTATGGCTTCTTGTGAAAGTAAAGTCACTGTAACTAGAATGCAAAATATGCATACAACCCCAAAGCAGAGGTCCTTGAGCTTTATTCCCCTAAATTAACCTACGCACGAATATGGCGCCAGTATCTTTTTCAGTTAACTGATCTCTTTCAGAGCTGCTTGCCGATCATTCCAGACCAAAAGAGACTATTTTAGAAAGAGTGGTTACCTTCAGGTGGTGCATTGTGATTAGACATAAGCCAAGACTCGGCAAAAAAGTGAACATGCCTGAAGTGGCAGGTTATGCGCTGCAACACTATGTTCTTCAACTCCGTGTGTTATTTAGCATACCGCTCATAGGAAGCATCAATCGCATTTTTGCACAGCTGGATTTCGCAGTTTTCTAATAAATGACAACGCTTGTTTCTACACATGCGTCAAATGTCGACAGGATCAGTCAAAATCAAGGAGCAATCAAGGAGCGCCCAGTTTGTTTATCCTAGGGGTACTGGCGATACATACCACAGCACAGCACACGCGGCACGAGGAGCGCGCCTCACAAGCCGCCAGCACCTGAGGCTGACGGGGAGGGCGACTGAGGTGCAGCGTCCCCCCTCCCGTCCGGACCTGCCGCACTCCGGACGGAGGGTGGAGGTGCAGCCCCCCCCCCCCCCCCCAGCTCATCTGGATCTGCCGCACTCCGGCGGTGACGCCAGCATGGGCGTAAAATTAGCGTCATGGGTGGAGAAATTCATACAGAAATTCTAATAAAAAATATATTCTCCAACTAAGTTTTCCAATTGTAAAACCAAACGCGCCATTACAGCAAGCATGGGATGGCAGTGTAGGAACCGATTATCACCACAAGCATCTAAGAAGCGTACATGGGCCACCGGTACATACGCCTTTATGTGACCAGTCATACTTGTGTCACCGTGTTATATTGAGGCCAAAAACCTTAGCGTGTTTAATGGTTGTTTACCAAATGAACAGTTCAGATTTCCTATTAGTTTACGTTTTGATGTTCTAAGCCACCGCCCAAAGTTCGGTGATGATTACCAAGCTGGACGAGACTCCACACGCATTGTGGCGACTTCTTCGGACATGTCCGTCGTGGCTGGCGCTGGGCGCGAGATGTCCTGAAAAAGGCCGTGACGTGGTTGATCCTACCGGCGCCATGCCGGCGCTCGCGGTCGTCGTTGCGGCTACCCCGCTGATACATTCATGACATGTAGAGCAGACCTTAGTTCCGTCACCAACCGCCAGCCGTACACGTCTCGGAGACGCGCCCGCCCCGCCCCGGGGTCGGGCCACGGCCCTCCTGTCACGCGTCACGAGCCCGGGGGAAAAACTGCCCCCGTTTCACCAGACGACCAGTCTCCACTCGCCACGCGCCGCACCCCACGCCGGCCCACCGCAGCGGCGGGCACAGGCCGCGTTTACAGATCACCAGCTGGCCGGGGAGACCAGCTCATGGAACGCTGCGTTCTTTGCAGATATCGCGATACTCCAGCGGAGGCCATTACATGCTGCATTTTGATACCAAATATGCTTTTCGGCGGGTAAGTTTCGGCGGATTTGAGTGGCTGGCCGCGCCGGAGTGTTATTCGCGAAGCCTGTCGGCACCTCGCTCCGACTAACGATCTTAATTGTGACGCTACCGACGATCTCGAAAAGGAAAAGTCCTGAAGAACATCGTATGCATTGGCCGCTAGTCGACCCACGAAGTTCACCGGAAAAGACGACAAAACGGATGCCGCAGCCATGCAGAGTTCCGGTGCACCATCTGGGGCACGCCACGCGCGGCGCTGCGATACGGGCATGAGGCAACGGCTCCCGACGCGCCGAAACTGGACGAATTGCCAGTCACCGGGCTATATAGCGGCACCTGGCCGCGGACCATGGCTGTGCTGCAGCGGTTAGCACTCCCGTGCGGAATATTCAGCTGGCTGGTGATTGAGCCTGCGGCGGGGCAGCGCCGGCGGCCGGGGTAACGGTCCTGACACGGTCTCCGCCGGGCGGCGGGCCCCTCCGGGTGGCGGCGGCGGCGGACCGAGACGGGGAGCGGTGCAGTTGCGCACACCTGACGCACCGGAACGGCAGTGGCAACGGTGCGCGGGCCGCGCGGAAAACCACCGGAGTCGGCGCGATGGCTGCGAATTGCTGCTGTTGCGGCCGAGTCACTGTCCATTGCATCGGTGCCTGTCTAATGTCTGGGAGCGCTCTTGGCAAAGTGATGGGTCCTGTTCCATAAATTACGGTCACGAGGCAAGGGTTGCCGGAGACGGATCTTTGGCTTTCTCGGATTTAGACTCATCCTCCTCGGGCTTTATGTCCGACCTGCTTCTGGGTCGCATTGATGAAAAGTTATTTCGCTATGCGGCCAGGAATCTGTGCTTGATAGCATATCATTGTCTGGTTTTCTAACGGCACAGTTGTACCAGGCGTTCTACGCATGAACATGCCAACGAAGAGCTTCAGGTTCCCATTTCGCTAAATAATCGCTCTTTCAATATTTGGTTTTGTTACTGCGTTCTTTCAAAGCACATTCCTTGCACTCCATTGTAACGTAGCTACCAGTTTTGTTCCCAATTTTCGGCTCTCTTCGACGAAAAGGTACTTGCGTTGGCTTATTTCCAATCAAATGGCTTCAGTTTAATGTTACATATTATTCATGAGGTTCGTGGCTCCCATTTTTGCATCTCATGTTTATCCTGCAAAAGCCCAACCGATTGAGATCGAATAGATATTGCTATGACATTCGCCCTGCTTCATTTTTACGAATGTCGAAAGCGTCTCAGAACACGTCTCAGAGCGATCGCGCCATTCGGACATGACCAGAGCATGTGCTGCTGCCAGGGCCTGCTGCATGACCAGAGCATGTGTGCTGCCTGCCGGGCCTGCCATGACCAAGCATTGCCTGCCGGGGACTGCTGCATGACACAGATGTGCTGCTGCCGGGGGACTGCTGCATGACCAGACATATGCCCCCGGGAGCATTTTGCTGCCGCCGGGGCCTGCTGCATGACCAGAGCATGTGCTGCCGCCGGGGCCTGCTGCATGACCAGAGCATGTGCTGCCGCCGGGGACTGCTGCATGACCACAGCATGTGCTGCCGCCGGGGCCTGCTGCATGACCAGAGCATATGCTGCCGCCGGGGCCTGCTGCATGACCAGAGCGTGTGCTGCCGCCGGGGACTACTGCTTGCTGAGCCGACCCAGCTCCAAACTGAACCGTGTCCGTCTGATACCCCGCATGCCCTAACGAGCCTCGACACCCAGCTTCAGCACCCCGTCCGCCGCGCTCCAGGGGTGGATGGGGTTGCGTGCTGACCTCCCGACGGTTGGCCTCCCGACAGTTGACCTCTCGACGGTTGACCTCTAGACGGTTGACCTCCCGATGGTTGACTTCTTGATGGCTGACCTCCCGACGGTTGACCTCTTGATGGTTAACCTCTCGGTGGTTGACCTCTCGGTGATTAAACTCTCGATCGTTGACCTCTCGACCGTTGACCTCCCGACGGTTGACCTTTCTCCGGGTGGCGCGGTGCATGCCGATTGTCAGAATCTTCCAGCAGCCAACCAGCGGGGTTGACTCGAGCGTCGGCGGCCGGCGGAGGCTGTCCCGCTCGGATTTACATACTTAGTACCGCTCGACGGTGTGTCCTGCAACCACGGCATGATGCCCCCGGTGTCTTGCAGATTGTTAACTATGGGATCGGTGGACATTACAATTACCACGACGACTTTCTCTACAAAGATGCTACCAGGCATGTAAGTTGTATCGGGAGGCGTCGCCCAGTGTGTCATGTCTTGGTGATATCGGTCACCGTTGTTTAAGCGGCATGGGTGAGTTCATCTTCCATTGTCGTTCGCATGGTGTCGGAGCAGCCCACTACAGTGTAAGCTGGCAATCCGGACAGAACTTCTCACTGTGTTAGATAGGCCACTCTTCCCTTACTCTACATCTCTTCGAAGTCAGATGGGCAATATTGGCCTCAGTTCGGACTGTATCGCCTTGAAAACATTTAAGACATGTATATGAATATAACTTGTAGGAGCGAAACACGAATGACAAAATCCAGGCACCGAGAGATCTAGGTGGAAATGAATTTCGTGTAATAAAACGGTGGCGCTTCAAGCTGGCCTACTCTCATGCGATGATTTCAACTCACATTTCGCTGATTCTTTGACGCACTGAAATATTATCTTTTGGTTTCCCCTACCAGTCTCGCCATCTTAACATGCGAGGATATCGACTATAGGGACTACATGTGTAGTAGCATAACTTGTGAACAACATACATAATACACACACACATATATATATATATATATATATATATATATATATATATACATATATATACACACAATACAATAATAAACAACAACATAGTAACATAAGCGAAAATCGATCCCACGGCCGCTGTACCAGCCAATGTGGTAAGCATTTATATGCGTGTGAAATGGACGAGTAGCTTATGCAGGCAGCGGGAGTTAATTTTGTTGTGCCAATGTGATTTTAGCCATCGGCTGGTATTTGTCTGCATTTTAACGATCATGCTCTTTCAAAACGTAGCTCTGATTGCTCACTGCATCCAGATCTGTAGCGTGGTATTTGCTTGTGGAATGGTACCGTTGGCTTTAAGGCTGATCACGAGCATTTTGTTTACGCGCAGCATGGTTTCAGCAATTCGAACACACTCCTGACTATCTCAACTCGGGGGATCGCATCGCAACATTTATGTTCTACGTGAGTAATCCATCTGTGTAAGCATTTGATGGCGTCATCAATCAGTGCAGAGATTTCGCACGTAGTCCTTGAAATTTTGTGCGGCATACCAAGAGGACGTTTGGTTCCGAGATTGGTATGCCTGCCATCGTGTCCAGCCGAGTGATGTAGCCCCCTATCTCCGCTCCGTTCATCCTTATCCGGATAACGGTGTCCCCTGCCCCGCCCGGTCGTCCCCAGCTGAGTGACGGTGTCCCCTGACCCTCCCGGTCGTCCCCAGCTGAGTGACGGTGTCCCCTGACCCTCCCGGTCGTCCCCAGCTGAGTGACGGTGTCCCCTGACCCGCCCGGTCGTCCCCAGCTGAGTGACGTGATTCGGGGCGGCGCCACCGCCTTCCCGAAGCTGGGCGTGTCCGTGTTCCCGGAGCGGGGCGCCGCCGCCTTCTGGTACAACCTGCGCCGCAACGGCCGCGGCGACGTTCGCGCGCTGCACGGCGGCTGTCCGGTGGCGTACGGCGCCAAGTGGATCGCCAACAAGTGGGTCCGCGAGCGCAACCAGTTCCTGCGGCGGCCGTGCACGCTGGACCCTTCCCAGTGAGGCCCGGGCACGCCGCCCGGACGTACACGCTGGACCCTGCCCAGTGAGGCCCGGGCACGCCGCCCGGACGTACACGCTGGACTCTGCCCAGTGAGATCCGGGCACGACGCCCGGACGTGCACTCTGGACCCTGTCCAGTGAGGCCCGGGCACGCCGCGCGAGGTGGAGTCCGGCTGTGGCGAACGGAGACTTGCGGTGACTTGTGTGGTGTAGTGACCTGTCTTGAGAACGTTGCGTGTAGGTGGTATGACCTCCTATGTCAAGGGATCCCATTGCCAGCGCTGTGATTGCGCGGGTTGGTCTGTCATGCACGTCGACGGGTGATTTATGGACACCGCCGGCCTCCAATGGTGCAGTGGACGGTTATATGGTGCTCAGACGACGGAGGGCAGTGGGCTGTGAAGCTGCAGAGAGCGCTGCTGCGTGAAAATGGTGACGGGGTGCGCCGGAGCCCAGCACTATGGAGAGTGCTAAAAAACATGCTGGACGTGAAAACGCGCCTGTCAACCTCGTCGCCCGTATTGTGGAGTCGTGGACAACGGGATGCCTTGTGTCCTCCTCCATCTGATTAGGGCGGATGTGCTGTGATGTTGCTTTCTAGCTGCTTGCTAGTGAGCAGCTGGCTGCAGAGGGGTAAATAAACATAATGCTTTGTCATGCTCGTAGTTTTCCATGGAGGCAGGTTTTCAATGCGTTTATATTTGCCAGACGAAAGGTCCCTTATAAGCGCCACTGTGCCCGACGGCGAATGTCATATGGGTCACTCGTCGTGAGCGATGATGACCATCCGGGCTGTGTGAAGGTTTGGTAGTCACACCGGCCATAAATATTATTTTAACGTACCGCTGAAACGCTGTCACTTATTATCAAGTTAGTGCGGTCTAAACTGGTACAACATAGGCTTGGGGCCAAAGTCGGGACCCGCGGTCGTACCGCAACCCAGCCGCGAATGGCGATTAAAAGGCTCTTGCATCGCATGCGCAGCCTTAATGCCTGTAAACCTGAAGCGGCGCAATTGGGTGGCTTGTATGAAGATCCCCCGTCCACCAAATGACGGGCCTTTGGGCCATGGCTTCTGTGACGCAGAGTGCGCTAAGTACAACATGAAGCACGCCTGGGCAGACCACACCTCGTCATGGATCACCCAAATCTGAGTATGCGTTGGCAGCCTTCGTGTCACAGAAAACATCGCCAAAGTCTGAAGCCTGCAGCTTCTAAGGCTACCAATTCAGAGGTCTCCGCGGTGGAAGGATGCCGCTCAGCGCGCCCGTCCCGTACACCGCGGGTTGAAGCTATCGGGTCACACAAAAGAGATGCCCATCGTCCGACATGCATGTCACAATCCTAGCCGCCAAATTTAACCGCCCTGGCGGAGCTTCCGGTTGGCAACAGCGACAGAGGGATGCCATGGCACGCGCCACGTACGTCGAACTTCCTCTTACTGGCTGGATTCGATCTTAAGCCCATCACCGCACCATAACGCGCCGTCTGAGCCCCTGCAATTGGCCCCAAGGACAGGGGTACAAAAGATGCACACGTTCGCCGCGAGAGCGTCCTGCCACGGAAGACTTAAGGCTTGGTACCGTCTGATAGCACCGGCGGTAGTCTCTCCTCCGGTCGTAATTCGGTAGGCTGGTTAGTGTGTCGGGCACTCAAAGCACTAAAAAATACCGCACGTGCCTGCAGGTCACGCCGTTGACCTCAGACGGCTGCCGACTGCAAAAGCACGCTCTCTGTAACGGAACCCAGGCTGTCACCCGGCCTTATGTATATCCCCGTGTTCTGCAACCTCTGTTTTCTCTGTACCAGTGATTTGTATGAATTGCACAAAAGTCCGGCTGAGGGCATGCCATGCCATGCGCCCTGATCTACCTGAAACTGGTGCCAGAGCCAGTTCGCCGAACTGACACACCAGCTGGCGCCACCCGTGTTGCAATCCGCCCGAGCGTTTTGGAGCAGCGCGCACGAAAGCTTCGAACATGCCCGGACCTAGGTTTGTAACGATGTCCCCAGAAACGCCTAGGGCCCTGGATCGGTCGAAAGGCCATCGTTTGTGTAAAATGAAACTCATGAGTGAAACTATAGGAATATAACGCATCAAGACAACACCAATGTTGAATATTTGCGAATTAATTACATTTCTGTAAACGATGCAAAATTTTGGAACGTCCCGAAAAAGCATCAACAGACCATGACAGCTTGCCTAGTCTCGAGAGCAATCTCGTGATATCTATCGCTGGGTAGCCAGCAACCCTCTTCCAAGTTGGAGGGCCACGACTACTTCGTACAGTTTTCTGCTCCCGCACCTCCAGCTGCAGGTGTCGCCGTCTCCGGGCTGTGAAGCGGTCGGTGCACCGCATTCTTACCGTACATTTCCGGACCGCAGTTTGGCGCGCGCGGTCCCATTGTTCGCTCCTGACATTCTGACACAGGAACGTGGTCGGCATCTGAAAGATGTGAGAGAAATCGCGTGCCCTTATCATAGATAGCCTTTGTCCTTGCCTTCTGATACCATGAGAGTTCACATCGGCGGATGTCCTGGTAGCACTGGAGATTAAGCTTGTAGTGATGTAAAGGGAGTGGGATCTCATCCCTGAGGTTTATTCTTTAGGCTGGTTGTGCTGGGGACCGGTCTCCATCTCGCGGCGGTGTGTTGCGGTACATCAGTGGTGCCTGGGTGGCATCATTAGGTTCAGATATCCTCCTCTTCCCGTGTTTTCATGGCTGATGCGTTTGGCTGTTTTTTGGGCAAATCTGTCCGTCCTGTTGACGAGGGATATTAGGCCGATAAGAGTCCCCATGTCACACTTCATGTCCAAAGTAGATCCTAAAATCCTCTACCTACCAGGTTGATTCATCATCTGATGATAGCCCCTTTGGTGCGTCCCATCTGTTGAATATGAGGCGGAGGACAACGCAGATCATCTCCGAAGCTACTGATGACTTGAAGTGGTCCATCTCCAGCCAGCCGGTGAGACGGCTGCTGAAGCTGAGATCAAGGTCGCCTTCGAGTTTACGTATGCTGGTGACGACTCGCTGAAAGAGTAACTCGGGCATAACAGTGCTCAGTGGCGGCTCTCTCCGCTGGGATTGAGCATGACATCAGCACTGCTCTCAGTGACCCCGATGATCTTGGACGTCACTGTTCAATCTGGGCCAGTACATGGCCCGTCGTGGTCAAGACAGCAATGACGTCACACTCTGGGGAGCGGTGAAAAGATTTCGGCCAGCTGTCGCCGTGGGCTCCTTGGAATGTCCTCCAGTCTGAGGCCTTTCTCTTCGACAAGGCACGTGAAAAGGTCGTCGACCACATCAAGTCAGTCCTTCGCATTGAAGAAGTTGCGTACTTGTGGGTTTATTGGGCCCGCGTAGATGCAAATCCAGCTGACGACAAGCTTTGCTGCAGGAGCTGATATTACTCACCGGATTGAGCAGCATCTTTGATCTGCTGTATGTCCAGCGCGATGACGTCACGGATGCCAGCTGTGAGCGCCGCAACAACAGCGCCGAATGCTTCCAGTTCATCGGAGGTGTCCACGTCGCCTGGGTCTGGTTCACTTGCCCCAACCGGGTAACGTGGCAGGGTATCCGCTGCCAGATGTAACTAACCGGCCGTGTGACGAGCCTTTACGTTAAACGGTGGTGTTTTCTCCGTGTAGCTTAAAGCTTTTTTAGCGCTAGGCTTATGACAGCACGCGTAAAGAATTAACTCAAAATGTCCAGGGTTACTGCTGAAGCTTTCCAGTTCAATTTTTCACAGTCAAGTGTTGCTGTTGCGTTAACTGGAGGGATGCGACCAAATCTGTTGGCAATGAAGAGAGGCTCAAACTAATTCGGTCGATTGCCTGTTGTGTTTACTTCTTTCCGTCTATATCAAAGGTTCAGGCCGCTTCTGAAGTCTGACCGAACCGAACCAGTTCCCTGATGGTTACACAACGGGGCAATGTAGATTGACGAGAGCGCCATGCAATGGACATTATCTGGTGGGCGGCTCGAGCGCCACCTGTCGCAAGCACTGTGCGTGATGTGACTACCACAAGACGAATATAGATGGCGCTAGTGGCCCCGCTCCGCGGGGAGGATTGCTTACCAAATAACATTGATATGGTCGGGCGCAGGGGTGGATCCAGGATTTCGTCAAAGAAAGGGCCATGCTTCACTATAGTTCCCCCTAGAACTTTGTGACCTTCACAAAAATCCCCGTGTTTCGTCACTTCTATTCTGACAATTGCGTCGTCATTTATCATAACTCCTTTCATTGAAGGGCCCCCGCAGGAGGCTCTTTGACGTTTGAGGTCGCATCACTGGCCTTTTCAAAAAATGCGCCCCTAGCCATTTCCTTGAGCTTATTGTTGACACAGGGTCCCGTGTTAGACACTGTGGGTCCTTAGCTGCTTCAGTGGTCCCGACCAATGCACGAGGCCCTCTTGCTACGTGTGACGGTTTGTATCCCTTTAGGTGGGCCAATTCCCCCCTCTCCCATGTCCAGTTCACATCAGCTACGTTCTCTGTCAGTTACGTCGCTATCATCTACATGCCCTATCATCTACGTTCACTATCATCTGTATTCACATTCATCTACGTTCACTATCATCTACGTCCAGCACTATCCACCTTCACTATGTTCGTCACAAACACAGCACTCATAAAAAGGCTCGGTTTCATCGAATCCCTACAAAACAGATGTTCGAGACATCTAAAAAACTGAATTTGCATGCTGCATGCTCTTCTTACAGGCACACTTTTGTACGGTTGGAAGTTTTACATTTCACGATACGAATTTAAAAGCTTTCTGGACCGGTGGATCTGCATTGCGGGGTGAGCTGTGCTATCAGTAGCATTTCGTTGATTGATAGTTGTGTGAGTCGTTTCTTTTCTATGTTGTTGATATGACGAAATGTAAAACTTTCAGCCATACAGAAGTGCGTCTGGAATTAAAGCGTGCAGCGTGCGTTTTTTCTCAAATGCCTTGGGCATGTGTTTTGTAGGGCTTTGATCAT